AACAGGAGCCGCCTGGAGCGCCCCACGGGCGCTCGCCGGCTTCAGGCGGTGGTCCCCCACAAGCTGGCCCCCAGCCTGCTCGCGAGAGCCGGCGGGAAGGTCCTCGCGGCGTGGGCTGCCTAGGCGGCCGCCTTGCCGCTCCCGAAGTGGCGGAGGCTGGCTGGACAAAAAGGTGTGGCTCTCCACCCAGGCGGGGGTCTGTCCAGAACCACCGCCTGGGAGATCGATGTTCGGGGACCTCGGCAGGCAGCGGATTTGGATAGATTCGGACCATTCAGGGCCTATATATATGTATAAAAGACTGCAGTGGCGCTTCGCGCCATGCACCTTGGTCCTTGAAGATTGGCATGCAGGCGGAATAGCAGGAGGGTCAAGCCGACAATTTAGCGATAACTCCTTGTTGCCTTTCCCAGCATCGCCGCTATAATCATGTTTTTCGTTATCCTTCCTCCATGCTTCTTTTTCTTCGTTTTCGCCATACCCTGCGCATTCCCCCCATCCTCCTCAGCTTTTTTTTTGCGGAGGGTCCTCCTCGGAGAGCCTCTGGGGGCCTCACAAAAGTTGTTTGAGGCTTTCTTAAGGCCTTCTGGAGGCCTCCTGGGCGTATTCTGGGGGCCTCTGGAGGCTTCCTCGGGCCACCCTGCCTCCAACCGCGGTCTCCCTGAACGACCGGGTCACGATTTGGAATGCTTCGGAGGGTGTCTTGGGGCCATTTTGAGCCGCCATGGGGCTATCTGAGGGCCATCTTGGACCCGTGTTGTGCCGTTTGGGGGCTCTCTTGGATTGCCTGGAGGCCCTTTCGGATGGTTGTGGGGCGATTTTGGAGCCTCCCAGGTAGCTTCGGACGCCCAGAGGACCGCTGTCTTGGAGCGTCGGGAAGCCGAAAAGAGGAGAACCCCAAAATTCACCAACCCAATAGAAAATCAATGATTTTTGCCTCTTGGGAGTGCTCTTGGAGGCCTCTTTGGGGCCGTCCTGGAGGCCTCTTGGGCCATATTGAGGTCACATCGGTCACTCTTGGAGCGCTCTTGTGCTGTCTTGGGGGTCTCTGGGATGACCCCTCTGATCGCCCTAGGTGTGCTGGGAAGGCTTGACAAAACGCCCTGCGAGGCTCGGGGGGCCGCTTCGAGGCCCGTCCAGAGGGTCCCAAAGCCCCAGATCCCGGGAGTCCAGTTTTTTTTTGGGGGGGGGAGGGGTTTTCCCCCCGCCCTGGCTTGTAAAAATATAGGAAAAGTATATATCCTTATCCATCTCCTGCCAGGGTCCCAGGACGTCGGTTTCCCAGGCGGTGGATATCGATATATCTCTGCCTCGCATCTCTTTCGGGCCTGGACATCTGCCATTCAGGAAACAGGTCTCGAGGGAAAAGCCCAAGGGCCCAGGACCCGATTTTCTGAGGACCAGCGTCATCCATGCCGATGCCATGCGATTGCCACCCCGCCCGTTCTCAGCTTCTTGGTGTCGTTGCTCTCGCCGTCGTCGCCCCCTGCAGCCCGCCGGCCTTTGGGTGCCAGCACAGAACTTCACCCGACCGCGCGCGCCGCCAGCGACCGGCGCCCGCGACCCTCGCCTACGGCCCGCGCTGCAGCGCGCGCCTGCGAGGACGCAGACGGAGGACGGAAGGGACGGAAGGGGCATCAGGTCGTTCGAGGATGGCAGGAATACCAGGCTGAAGCGTTTTCGGACGTTTTCTCGCTGACTCTCGGAAGGTTTCCAGCCTCGGGGTGCTCTCCAGCAGCTGCGCCTCGCCGAGTGCGTTCCAGGGGTGCCCAGATCGTCCCGAACGGCCGCTGGGGAGCCGAGCTATGACCCGAAAACCTGGGGGCAACCGTAGGGGGGGAATACGTCGGCTCAGGGGTGGATGCATCGACCCCCAATCGGCCATTCATCGCCGATAGGTGCCCGATAGCCCCCCCAGCCCGGGAACGCGGCGATCGGCGATGCATCGCCGCCTATTCGAGGTCGATTCCCCCCCGGCCCCGACACGGTCCCCCCTTTCTTCGCGTTCCCCCTCGGGGGGCGAGCGGGAAGGCAGGCAGGGTAGAACGAGATGCGGAAGCAGAGGGAGGCGGAAGCGAGGCAGGCCCAGCGCCCACGGCAGCACGCCGCCACGGCCTGGAGGCGGGCCCGGACCTCCGGACCTCCGTGCTGCTCGTCGTGTGGGTCCTCCCCCCCCCCTCGGTGGGGGGGGGGCCCACGCAGCAGCTCGTCGGCTCTCTGGCGGGGTCTGGCCCCTCGCTGCTCGTCGTGGTGCCTCTGAGCGACGACGGCGGCGGCGGCGGCGGCGTCGGCGGCGCCGCGGCGACGGCGCGCACGACGGCGGCGACGGGGTTGGCAGCGGAGCCGCGGTTCGACGCTTCCAAGCACCTCTGGCGGTCTGGCCCGGCTGCCCCGCTCGGACGGGGGCGGGTCGCCATGGGGCCTCTCTGCACGGCGCGGCGCGGTCCGAGGCACGCGGCTGGACCGCGGGGGCGTTGTTGTATGTTGTTTGTGGTGCTCTCTCTCTCTCTCTCTTTCTCTCTATCTCTATTTCTCTAACTCTTTCTCTCTCTCTCTCTCTCTCTCTGAGGGCCGCGACTTGGCCAGCATTCTCAGAGGACGAAAAGGTACCGCTACTGCTGCCCTTCGCTCGTGTCCCCACTTTGGGGCCTCATGGGAGGGCCTCCTTGCCAACGCTGGATTCGCTTCGAAAGTCTGGCCAGAACGTACCCCTGGGGAGGTCTGGGGAGTAGCAGTACCGGTACCTCTTGGTTTCCCCATTTATCTCCAGGCAAGAGGTCAGATGCAAACACGTATTAGAGCATGTCTCTATCTCTCTCTCTCTCTCTCTCTCTCTCTCTCTCTCTCTCTATATATATATATATCGTTTTCTCTGCTTGGCTGTTGCTCGTTCTCAAATTTCCTTCGGTCGAGCTTGTTAGATTCGCTCAATCCAGGCGTTTGCCCTCGGTTTGGGATCCGGCGCGGGCCAGCTGAGTTAATGAGTACGATAGGCTCGTGCCGCCTCGAGGCGGTAGGAGCGTGTTTCTTTACTGATTGGGGCATAACGAGAATTATAGCCCCCGCCCCCCCCTCCCCCCCCCTATAACGCAACGCCCCTCCCCCCAGTGCGCTCTGGGCACTGCAGCCGTGCGCATCGGGATCCGCATCGGCGTCCGCATAGGAGGAGGAGGAGGAGGAGGAGGAGGAGGAGGAGGAGAAGGAGGAGAAGGAGGAGGAGGAGGAGGATATGGAGGAGGAGGAGGAGGAGGAAGAGGAGGAGGAGGAGGGAGAAATGAAGACCGCTGCATTATATTACCAGCACTTTCGCGGAATGGCGTTGAGCTGTCCGCGGCAGATCCTTACCTACATGCTCGTTCTACGTGTCCTGTGCACGCAAGCGCTGTGGTGTACACCAGCGCTGCCTGCGCGCAGATGCTGTGGTGCAGACGGGCGCTGTGGTGTGCACAGGCGCTGTGGTGCACGCAAGCATCGTGTTGTACACAGGCGCTGTATAGCACATGGTTGCTGCGGTGTTACACATTCGCTGTGGTGTACACTGGCGCTGTGGTGCACGCAAGCACTGTGTTGTACACAGGCGCTGCGTCGCACACGGCTGTTGCGGTGTACGAAGCTGCTGTGGCGTACACGCGCGCTGTTGTGCGCGCGAGCATTTTGGTGGACACAGGCGCTGCGGGGCAGGTCGCCACCTACATGCTGCTCGCGTCGTCGTCGTCGTCGCTCGTCGCTCGTCGCTCGTCGCTCGTCCCTCATCGTCGTCGTGTGCGCGGGCGCGGCTGTGGTGCCGGAGCCACCGGGGGGGAGGCGTTACATTATATCCCACCCCCCGGCCCCCGCCCCCTCCCCCCCCTTCAATGCCCATTATCGCCGAAAATAGAGAAACGCGCTCTAGCGACGCCCAGCGCGAGCGTTCAAGGTTGAACGCCCTCCTGGGGGTCAGCCTGGGCCCAAGGACCCGAGGACCCACAGAAGTCCACACGAAAGACGGGGTCGGCTGTTTCTGGGGACATTTGAGAGCGGAGAGTTCTCAATATCGAGCGGTTCCTGGGGTCTGAGATTGGGGCCCACGTTGTTAAGACACATGACCTTGCCGAGCGATTGGACGCCGAAACTGGCTTCAGGCGAACTCCAAGCTCTAAGTCTTCTGTTGATTGTCCTGTTCCTCCGCCGGCTCGTCCTCCACTGCTCCTCTTGCTCTTTCTTCCGTAACTGTTTTAGCTCAATGTGTTGCAGATCAAGGCGGTTCGATCAAGGTGCCAGCTCAACTCGCCGCACCAATCGCTACCACGGAACCAGGAGGCCCCAAATCTCGCGGCGGCGTCGCCGAGAGTCATCGACCGACATGATCGCCATGACCACCTTGGTGACCGGTGCGCCGCACGTTGCGCCGTACCCTGGTTACGCCGTGAACCTGAGTGTGTCGGGAACGGTGCAGATCAGGGCCGCAGATGTCGGCTCCACGAGCCAGACTCCGGAGTGGAGCTTGAAGGGTATCGATCCAGCCTGCAGGTCGGGCACTGAAGACAGCGTGGCGAACGGGTGCGGCATCCATGTGCACTCGGGCCTTTCATGCACGGTTGCTGATGACGTTGGCAACCACTACCTCAGCAGCGATCTCTGCGATGATCATTAGGCGGACGTTGTGTATGTCGCAACCGCGAATATTTTGATTCTTTGGGTAGCACGACGGTAGCAGCACACGAGCTCAGTAGTGGCGCGCATATCGCACGCGGCATCCTCTCGAGCTCGTCGTTGACGACATGGTTGAGCATGTTGTCGGCCTATCCGTGCTATACAGGCGACTAAACTAGTGTGGCGGGAACAGTGACCATCACGGAAGCTACTGCTGATTCTGCACTACAGTCTCTCGAGTGGGATTTGGAGGGTATCGACCTTGCTTGCGCGTCAAGCGCTGGAGACAACGTAGAGAACGGGTGCGGCATCCATGTGCATTAGGGCACTTCCTGCGCGGTTGCCGGTGACGTTGGCGGCCACTGCAACAGCAGCGATCTCAGCGATGATCCTTGGGTGGATGCTGCGTATGTCGCAACTTGAGCTGCATCGTTGGGCAGCCCTTCACCGACGGCACAAAAACTTCTCAGAAGACCGGAGGGCTTCTGAGAAGCCCCGCCGCCTTTGAGAAGGCCTTCTCTCACTTTTTCCCTCGCTCGCCGCCGAAAATGGAACTGCATCGTCGGGCAGAACGACGGTTAAGTCTGGGCTGAATTTTTCGGAGCTTGTTGGGAGGGCCTTCGTTGTGCACGAGCTCACGGGCGGCGGGCGCATCGCCTGCGGAATCCTCCAAGGCGCCCCGACCATGCTGTCAGCCAGCATTCCTGGCAACGCTCGGACGTCTACATTTATTCTCGGCGAGGACCATCGAGAAGCATCTGGGATCATGGTGCGAAAAATCAACGCACGAAGCCAGACAATGCACTGGGAATGTGGACGTCCGAGCGATGGCGAACATTGGAATCAGCCATTACCCTGATTGCGAAGGAGACTTGAATGTGAGTGGAGTCATAACTCTCGCGGGAGACGCGACACGGGCTCTCAAGTGGGACCTTGCAGGTTTGGACACAGCGTGCCTGTCCGGCGCAGGGGACAGCGTGACCAACCGATGCGGCATCCATGTGCACTCAGGCATGTCCTGCGGTGCCGCTGCTGACGTTGGAGGCCACTACTGCAGCAGTACTCTCAGCATCGAACCTTGGAGTGAGGTCGTGTACGTCTCCGACAGCTCGGGGATGTCCTCCTCGAGCACGACAGCGAACACCGGAGTGATGCTCTTGGAGCTTGCCGGCCGGACGTTCGTGGTCCACGAGCTTGACCGCGGCGCGAGGATCGCGTGCGGTGTTCTCGTGGCTGTCGAGATGGCGATCGTGGGCGCAGGCGACCTGGCTGCCGCAGGCACGGTCACCATGGCCAGCTCTGGCGTCGCTTCCCAGGTCTTGACGTGGGACCTGACTGGCCTGGACACCGACTGCGCGGCTGGCGCTGGGGACGGCGTGTCGGACGGTTGTGGGATACACGTGCGTACGTGGTCCACTTGCGATGTGGCAGCTGACGTTGGTGGCCACTTCTACAGTTCGGCCCTCGACTCGGATCCGTGGGCCGACTTCGTCTACCTGGCGGACCGCCTCGGTGCCTCGACGGGCGCGGCGGAAGTTGCCACTGGCCTCGCGCTCGCCAGCCAGGTGGGCAGGGCCTTCGTGGTCCACGAGCTTACCGGGGGGCCCAGATCGCCTGCGGCATCGTAGGCGAGGAGATGGCCATGACCACAGATATGTGCACGACCATGACAATGTCCACGACCATTGAGATGTCTACGACCACGACCATGGAGATGTCCGCGGCAGAAATGTCCACAGCCACGGAGATGTCCACGGCCATAGGGGTGTTTTTTTTAAAAGTGTCTACATGTGTGCCGTTTGCCTGGGCGACGACGATGTGGCAACTTGTTTTGCCGAGCGTCTTGGGCCTGGACTTCCTGCTCTCGTGGGACCCGCGCGGTGTCTGCGGCGACCGCAGAAGTCCCTGCGGCGGAATGCGTTGTGGCACCGGTCGTGTTCGGGGAGCACTGGGTCGGGGATCTAATCACTGACCCAGGTCAATCCAGACCCAGGTCAGTCAGGCTTTACAGGATTCCGCAAAATCCTGCAGGATCTTGCGCCCTAGCCCGGGTCAGTGCAGCCCTGTTTCTGCAGGATCTTGCAAGATCCGGCGCTCTGGCTGACCCAGGTTGCTTTGACCCCCGCGTCTTCAGCCCCGATAAGGAGGGGAGCGATTGGCCTCGATCTCGATTTCACGGGAGCTCGAGGTCACCAGCACCTTCTCATGCGCCACAAACGCGGCCCCTGGGGCCAGGGGCCAAAGGCCTGAACTTGTCGGTTGACCTGTCGGTCGGCATCACATCGCATGGACAAACATCTCGTCAACCCGGACGAGCGCATGCTGGTTTCACGTTCGGTAAATCCGGCTGCGGCAGGCAAGCGCAGACAATCTCAAATCTCAATTTCAGCTCTCTCGGTTACGGCACTCTCCAACTCAGTTTTGTCAGCCTTCGCAACAGTTGGGACACAATCGCTGTTGACCCCCAACGGAGCAGCATTTGATCGGACTAGCTTGAGACGCACTTGGGCTTCAAGTGTCGGACTTGATCAATTCTACCTCCAGATATTTCGGCGACGTGCCCGGTGACTTAGGTAATTCAGAGGGCTTGACACAGAATGGACCCCGCGCCATCGGCTGTATTTCTCTCGTTGAAGATCCTACGGTGCACGTCCCAAACTACTCGTATCGCAAATTTGGCGATGGGTATCAGTTCGCGTGGTACGGATATTTCCTTCACGAATGGGGAAGCACGACTGATTTCGTGCACATGACATTGCTTCGACGGTGGTCGAGTACATCCGGCATGTGCAGTTGGTCTCCGTCAACATCAGCAAATGTAGACCTCGGGCATCTGAGATGAACCCGATATTCGGCGCAGTTGGTGCAAGATCTACGGCTGAGGAATCGAGCGGCACTGGTGCGTACAATGCTATACGCCCCGACAAGGCGGCTAAATGGTCGCACGACGGGCGCGGTCGCCTAGTCTCAAATGTGTCTGCGGGATTAACCAGAGGTGTCAGACAGACTTAAGGTTGCAATGATTCGGTTGCAGATTTTCTTGAATTGCAACACATTTGGGACGCCTCCATTTTCAAGTCCGCCGTGTGACACAGTAGGTTTGCTTGGTCGTCTGCAGGGTTAAGCATCTCACCTGCTTGGACCAGACCTGACCCAAACCCAAGCCTCTGGGTCAATTTGGAGACCCATGGTACGGATGCTCCATATGTTCGATCTATCAACGACCCGTTGGTGTGCATGAGGCCCGCTATTGAAGTCAATGGCAGTACCCTCCCAGCTCATAATCTCACAATAGAGAATGGGTCATATACATTTCGATCACGGTTCTTCCACATCAGCGATGCGGTTTGTGCCGGAGGAGCGGTATCAGCTTTAGACTACGGCAAGAGCACGTCCGAGTTGTTTGTTTGAGCGTTGATTCACCGTGAGAAATGTTGACCAATAGTTACAGTGTTTAGATATACGTATATATACAAACATATATACATCGTTATACGTAGATCTGCATATACATCGAGTGCTAGATACGTAGAGCACAAACAAACGCCAGCAGGCCCACTCGCTGTCATGAGTATTATTCTGACGGCACCAGATACTACGGCTCCTTACCCGCACCCACCTCCTCCTCGACATACTTCTCCTCCTCCTCCACCTCCTCCTTTTTACTTACCATTGGGACTCTTTTACCAAAGAAAGTATCAGGTGACAGAATCACCGGGCTGCTTCCACACCTCTCGCGCGCGTGGTCGCAAGCACGAGAGTCATATGTGAAGCATTGGGCCACTGAGTGTGAAGCTCACTGGGATGCAGCTATCAAAGGAAATGGGGCGATTCGCGAAGTTTTCTTGAGAGCGATCGACGAGGAAGTTGCGGCGAGGCTCAAGATCAGTCACGGGAACGGCCTGCTGGACATAGGCCAGTTCTACGACACGATCGGGTGGCTGATGGCAGGCAGGGCTGCGATGCGGCTCGACTTCCCAGCCGAGGTATTAGGTCTGGAGTTGACGCAGTGCATGGCGGCGCGGTGTTTACGCCAGTCAGGCACGTACTCGGAGCCTTTCGCTCCCCTGCGTTCTATTGTCCAGGGCCGCCGCGGATGCGCGCGATTCGCCAAGTGCGCGACGTACCACATCATGCATCGGCTCACGACGGAGCACGTGGGTATGTCTCAGCGGCTGTGGATTGATGACCTCAGCCAATCGATTAAGAGTACCAGCGAGACGATGCGCAACAAGCTCGCACGGTGCCTGGTGGACACATGCAGGTCGATGCAGCGCGCGGGCTTGTCCATCTCGCCGAAGAGCGCTGTTGTGCGCGCGAAGCTGGACGACGCCAAAGCCATTGTGAGGAGAGTTCGCGCCCATGGATTTGTGGTCAAAGCTGCGCCGCAGGCGCCATATCTGGGGGCCGACCTCGGCGGCGGGCCTCGTCACGCACGCGCCAGTCGGACAGCTAGGCAAGCTAAACACAAAGCCGCGCACAAGCGAGTTATCAAATATGCCAGAGCCACTCGTCGGCATGGTCTCACGTCAAGGTTGGAGCAGCAGGGAGCCCAAGCGGCTGGGGCCTACGGGCACCAGCTCCACGGCGCTTTCGGAGACGTCATGACACAACTAAGCAGAAAACTCGGCAACGCTATTGGACCCAAGATGCCAGGTCGATGTCTCACGACGCTGATTGCTTTGAAAGCAATTGGCAGGGACCCAGCGTGCAAACTTCCTCGCGAGTGTCTTCGTCTCTGGCTTACCTGCTGGGTGCGCCAGCCAAATATCCATGACAGCATCATGCTCACGTGGCCTGGGCGGGTTCAAGAGATGAGAGCTATGCCGCCGAGTCAGAGGACACGGCGCATCCGCGGCCCTCAGGGCGCAGTGATCTGTTACTTTCTGCAGGCGGGGTGGCGACCAGATTCACCGACAAGCTGGACCACGCCGACAGCGGATGCCGGTCAAGAGCACACATGGCAGTTTTCGGTCGGCAATCTCATGGGCATTGAGCACTTAGATGTACCCAACGCCTTTTTCGACGAATATGAGCGTACTGTGCATAATGGTTTGTGGACACGTGCAGCTCAACACCATGAAGGAGCAGGACTTGAAGGTGGGGCCTGCAATCAGTCGCACCGTCGTCTGCCACGGCACCTTGAGGGCGCCCCTGGTGGTCGACGACTTGCAGGCCTTATGCTTGCGATCGCCGTCGGGGCCACGTGGCCCCGCACACGGCGGCAGGAGCGGGCCAAGCAGGAGATGTCCCAGGATTGCCTTCGGTGCCGCGGTCATCGTGAGACGGCTTTTCATCGCGCGTGGGCCCGCGAAGGCAGATGCAAGCATGACATATATCAGATCACGGAAAAGTACGTTGGAGAAGCCTACACCCAGGGGGAGGCTGACGCCTGCTTCTGGACCAGAGGCCTCGTCCCAGCGGCGCGGCTGTCCGTGGAGGCTCCGCATGAGCATGAGAGTTGGAGCACCACTGGCGTTGACTTCGTCGAGGGGTGCTTCGGCGAGGGCACGCGCGAGAAGCCGCTCTACATCTTCGGCGACGCCAGCGGGGGGCGCGAGAGTCGTGACCCACGGCTTCGGCGCGTGGGATGCGGACTGGCCTGCCTGCGCGACCTCGCCGACGACATGGAGGTGTTCCTTGGTGCGCGGGGAGGCCTGCCAGGCCTTCGGCGGACGGTACCAAGAGGAGAGCTCCTTGCTTTCTACTTGGCCCTGAGGGGCAGCCGTGGGCTTCTCATCTACACGACCGACAACGAAAGTGTTATCATCGGATGGTACAATCATCGGCATCGTAGCCCTGAGGGACCAGACAGCGATTTGCGGTGGCAGATCGGAGTTCATCTCGACCAGCATCCAGGACTCCAGCGCACGATGCTCTTCGTCCACTCGCACCTCGAGGCCGCCGACGTGCTGCGAGGCAAGGCGCCTCGCCTGCTGGTGGAGGGCAACGCTTTGGCTGACGCCTTCGCCGCGCTCGGAGCCGACGGCGCAAGAGTGCCTGAAATGAGTCGTGCCCGTGTCCAGGCCACTGAGCATAAAGCTTTTTTGGTTAGAATGAGGATTCTCCAGAGCACTATTGAGACGTTAGCAGTTGAGCAGGAGCATGAGAAGAGCCTCGGTAGGAAAGCTGCCCGCCGTGTCCAACCTAGACCGCCTGCCCCTTCTGTCTGCGCAATGTTCTCGTCTCAGCATGTCTTGTGTGAGTCTAATTCCGCTAAGTGTAGCAGATGTAAGGGCACAGCCACCAAAGCGAAGCGTAAGGACTGGCTAACCTCCTCTTGTTTTGACTTAGTTAGTGTGGACGGGATTTTGTTCGATCCCCCCCTGGGCGGCGGGTGCACATCGCAGGGGGTTTTCCCGATCCGACACATAATTTGAGGCAGCACGCGGGATTGGGAGTCTGGTTCTGCTCAGCGTGCGGGTTCTATGCGGCTCAGCAGCTTAAGGAACTAGCAAAGCCGTGTGTTGGGCGTGTTGAAGGTAATCGGTCCGATTATCTTGATAGGATTTCGCGTGGAATTTGACCCAAAGCTTACAGCAGAGCTGAGCTAGCCAAGAAGCAGAAATCTGTCGTTTAAGTAGTTTGTCCCCGACCTAGTCGCTACATCCAGAACTCCAGAACTCCTCCACCTCCTCCACCTCCTTACCGACCTCCTCGATCTCATCCTCCTCCGGTGCCCTGCTGGCCACAGCCAGCGCCCGTCAATCAGAAAACGCTCGGGACCCTCGCCACCCAAAGCGACGCTGCCCCCCCTACCAACCCCTCCAGCGTTTTGAAGCAACACTGCACAGTCACGAGAACGTCTGCCTTCGGGGGGCGCTGGGAGGCCCCCAGACCGTCAAACATGTATCCGGGATGGGCCAGCGACTCGACAAATGGTGTCGCCAGGCTTCGCCTTCCATCGAGGTTGCACCTACCGTATTGGCTGGAGCCTTTCCTCGAACATCTGCCCCGACCCCTCGCGGACGCCATCCTGACATGTCTTCCGAGCCGCGTCCAGCCGGACAAGTGGACCCCCCCCGAGGCCGACAAAATGCCCCACACAGGCTTTCCATGAGTATGCTCACTCTTATTAGTATTGTTAGTATTGTTATTGTTAATATTGCTATTACTGTTGTATTAGTAGTATAGTTATTATGGTCATTGTTATTATTGTTGTTTTTGTTATTTTACCTCCTCCTCCTCCTCCTCCTTCCTCCTCCTCCTCCTCCTCCTCCTCCTCCTTCCTCCCCCTCCTCCTCCTTTGCTTCAGGGCTACTGCAGGCGGGCCAAGCGCACAGGAGAATTGCGTGCGGTCTGGGCGCTCGAGGCCAACCTCGTGCCGCGAGGGAGCAAGGGAGAGAACCCAGACATCGGGCGCCAGGATGAAGCCGGGACTGTTCCTCTACAGGAGGAATGCTCAAAAATAGTGAACAAAATAGTCGGGAGATTTTTTTATCGCATGTTTAACCATTTTTGCGCAGTTGGGTTCTTGTTTTTCTTCTGTATTCAAATCCCCCTGTAGGCGAACGCGCCCGACCTAACGCCAGGGGGAGCTCGTGACGAGAGCTCCAGCTGAGCCAGACCTCCAGCGCCCCGGAGAAGTGCACGACAGCCAGAGCCGGTGGGCTTTCTGGCCGCCGGAGGCCGCCGGAGGCCTCCTTCGGGCCGCGGGGCCGTCGAATCACTGCACACTGTGCATGTCTAATTCTTCGAGAATGTCAGATTGTTTTGGGGCCAAGGTCCTTCCTTTCGTTTCTAATTGTTCTGTCCTGGGCCTATTCCTGGCCACTAGGGGGCCAGGAACAATCAGAAACGAGCGCGATTAGAAACGAGCACGGTTAGAAATGAGCGACGTGCACCCGGGATAAAAGGATGGCGCTCGGGAGCTGGAGGGGTGCTGCCACGCCACGATAATAACGTGACGTGGGAAGTCTGGGGAGATGGCCAGACCGCACTCGGAGGTGGACAGACTGCCTACCCTGACACGTCGACTAAGGAATCGGCCGTTCTCGGTTCGCGAGAGGGCGTCGCGGCCGTCATTTTTGCGGGTCCAGGTCCGTCGGTTTCGGTCCCAGGCCGCTTTCGCGAAGGGGAGGTTTACTAAAGGGAGGTTTGTCCACCGCTGACGCATGGTTGGCCCTGGTGACTCCAGGATGTTCTGGCACATGCCGCTGCAGTTCGCGGGGCCTGTGACAGCCAAGCTGGTCCCCCGAAGAGCGAGGCTCTGTATCCCGACCTTCCAAGATTTAAGCTGCAGTTGTGTGCTACCAGCGTTCGGTGCAACTCCTGGGAGGTCAAATTCTGATTTTGCCCTGGTCCGAAGTCCGGCTTAATCCGGCTTACTCCCGCTGAATCCGGCTTAATCCCGCTTAATCCAGTGTAATCCCGCTTCATCCGATTTTCGACGAAGACCTCCCAGTAGTTGCCTCCTAACCAGTGTTTGCAGAATACCCGTGCGCCTGCGCCCTGCTCCTCCAGAGGCAGGCGCACGCGGGAGTGGAGTGGGCGTGCTCCAGGCGAGGGCTCGGTGGGCGAGCTCTGCTGCTCATCTGCGCGCCGATCTTGTGCGCGCTGTTGCCGGCAGGCCTCGCTATTTCTCTTTCTGTGAGTGTGCGGACACGCTGGGGTTGTGCCTCACCTCCCCGCTTCCTTGCGGCAGTATCCATGATGAGTTCATCGTTCCGCGAGGCACATCAGCAGCCGCGCTTCGTTGATCGTCATTCCCCTTTCTCTTGTGATGGTTTTGTCTCCGCGTCGCTCACCCAGGACCCCAGAAGAGAGCGCACGGTGCTCTGACATCCATAATGCCAATCCTGGCTTACATTTTGGCAGCTCATAGATCAACCTTCGGGTGATGAAGAGATTGGCGGGTGGATTGGGGCAGTTGTTGGCTTGCGATTGGCTTCGCGTCGGATTGGCAGTCTATCCGTCTATGAAACCATGCACTTGCTCTGTTGCTTGCTATGTGATTGCCTTCGACCCATGCCGCCACCGCGCCTAAGATGTAAGTCAGGGACATCTTGGATGCCTTCGGGGATCTCTCGGGAGGCCTTTCGGAAGCCTCTCCGGTGCAGTTCTGGAACGAATCTCTGAGGGCCTCGTGTCGGGCCTCTTGGGAGCCTTTTGGGGGCCTCTTTTGGGGTGCTTGAGGGCCTCCTATAGGGCTCTTGGGGAGGCCTCTTAGGGGGCACGCGGGTGGTCTCGGCGGTCATCTCGGGGCGGCGGGCTCGAAGCGTCAGCTCGTGTGCTCCACAATGGGGCCGTCTTGGGGGCCTCTTGGGGGCTGTCTTAGGGGCCCTCTTGGGCCGTCTGGGTGGGCAGAGCGATCTGACGTGAACCACCTCCGGGTAGGGCAGGATCTCTCTCTCGCCCTCGCGCAGCTTCGCCTCACCCGCACGCACGTCACGCACGATGACCATGAAACCGATCTCCAGGGGTGGGGGGGTGCGGCATTCCTTCTGATTTCGATGTCAAGCCCCAACCTCCAATTGCATTGCGATGATGGTCAGCAGTAGGGAAGTGATAGCATGTCTGTGCGTTGCGTGTTGGCACGGGCACGTTATTCCGCACGGCACAAACGGTTGCGTGAATATCGGTCAGGTGTTGCGAATTGCCCTTCAGTGTGCGCAGGCGGCGAAGGTTATTTGGCATATTGTCCGCATTCGGCGACATCCTCTAAGTATTTCGATGTTGATGTTCATGCGGATGACGTGTTCTCAAGTTCCCCGCAGTCCGAGGTGATTTCGTGTGACTCTACATCATACATGGAAAATGCAGACCTCCAGATTCCCCAGCACCCAGCACGATTCCGCACCGTCGTGCTTACAGTTTGATCAAGCATTTGGGTTTTGTGGGCCATGAGCAGACCTTGGATAAGGCAAGCGTGTGCTGTCAGGCGCGTTTCCTCGCGCGCAGAAGCTCTGTGTGTGCGTACCTGTGCGCGCGGAGTCGTGGTGGAGGTGGGCGCTGCCTCCTGCCATGCTTCTCGTAATGCTGCCGCTGGCCCTCCTCCGAGGGAGGGGAGGGGGAGGAGAGCGGGGAAGAGGGGGGCGAGGACGAGGGACGAGAAGGAGGAGGAGGAGGAGGAGGAGGAGGAGGAGGACGAGAAAGAGGACGGAGGAGGGGAGGGGAAGGGGAAGGGAGGGGGGGGGGGGAGGGGGAGGGAGAGAAGGAAGAGAAGGAGGAGGGGGAGGAGGAGGAGGAGAACGAGGAGGAGGAGGAGACCGAGGAGGAGGGACGAGCACGAGAAGGGGGGGGCGATTGACACCCGGTCTCGCGGAGCTCTGCCGACGCCGCCGGCCCGCAGAGGCCCGAGCGCGCCGGGCTGCTTCGTGAGCCCGCGCCCTCCACGGGCTGCCGTCGGGCCTCAGCCCGGCCCCGTCGGACGGGAGGGCGGCCCGGCGACGGCGAGGACGACGACGACGACGACGACGACGACGACGACGACGACGACGACGACGACGGCGACGGCGACGGCGAAAAGGACGACGACGACGACGTCGACGACGATGAAAAGGGCGACAACAACGGCGAAAAGAGCGACGACGACGTCGACGACGACGAAAAAAACGACGACGAAAACGACGACGACGACGACGACGACGACGACGACGACGACGACGACGACGACGACGACGACGACGAGCGGGGTCCCTCCCTCTCTCAGGGGCGTCCGAGAGCCCTCCGCTCTCTGCCCGCTTTCGCCCGCAGCCTCCCGTGAGATCCAGGCGTTGCATGAGGTCGGGCGTGTCCCCCTACAGGCGGATTCTAGAGGACACTCTAAAGATATTCCAAACCATGCCCCCAAAGATGATCCCAAAATGGTAGAACAATCCTCCCCTGGCTATTTTTGAATCATCCTCCTTTCGAGGGGTTCTGTTTCACAATGTCTGAAGATGTTGACTGGCTACTGATAGATGCTTACGGACGATGTTCCCACTGCGTTCAGATATTTTGACTGGCCATTTTTGGAACTACGATTTGTTTTACATTTTTCTGGGCTATGCGTGAGTACCCCAGATTTCGTAATAAAAGGGAGGGGGTCTGGACCCTCCAAGACCAGCCATTTCAGACCTCCCCCGTGGGAGAACCCTCCAAAACGTCGTCCCCAGACCCCCCAGGCCCTCCAGGATAGCTTGGAAGAGACCCCCCCCCCCGAAATGAGTACTCCAGATTTCGTAATAAAGGGAGGGGGGTCTCATTTCGGGGGGGGGGTCTCTTCCAGGCTATCTTGGAGGGCCCGGGGGGGTCTGGGGACGATGTTTTGGAGGGTTCTCCCACGGGGGGGGGGGTCTGAAATGGCTGGTCTTGGAGGGTCCAGACCCCCTCCCTTTTATTACAACATCTGGAGTACTCCTCCTGCCGAGGGGCGCGCCCGGCACGCGCGCTGCAGCTCCCGCCGCGCCCGGGCGCCGCCGCCCTCGCACGCCCGTGGCGGAGCGGCCCGGCCCGCGGCGGGCGCGCGCGGGGAGGTCGGGCTCGCGGCTCCGGTCGCGAGCCTCCGTGTTTTTTTTTTGGGGGGGGGGGAGGGCCTCCTCCTCCTCCTCCTCCTCCTCCTCCTCCTCCTCCTCCTCCTCCTCCTCCTCCTCCCCCTCCTCCTCCTCCTCCTCCTCCTCCTCCTCCTCCTCCTCCTCCTCCTCCTCCCCCTCCTCCTCCGGAGGCCAGCCGCGAAGTCTCGGGCGAAACGTGACCGAGCTTGATCAATCTCGGTCGCGTGTCACCTAGGGCTTCGTCCGTCTTCCGGGGCGGGAGTTCACCGTCGATCCCCCCGGAGAATGTGGGAAAGTACGGGAAGCGGGAGGAAGACAAAAGCCCAGAACACATGGGAAAGTATGGGGGATCCTCTTACCTGTGCCTCTTTGTTTGCGTGTCCCAGGGCCCCTTCAAAGAGTCGAGCCCAAGCTCAGGGAAGCACACGTGCACCCAGACATTTGACGTCTCGATCTTTTCGGGACACGTCCGAGGCGGGAATCTATCCATATCCACCGCCTGGAGGGCCAGTTTTCGGAGCCTCGGCAGGCGGTGGATCTGGACATGTTCGGGCCCCCGGGGGCCGAAACATATCCATCTCCACCGCCCGCTGGGGCACCAGGACGTCGGCTCCCAGGCGGTGGATATGGAGAAGTCCCCGCCCCGCCTGTTTTGCCTTCTGATCCCAGACGTGCTCGCGTCGCAAAAAGATCCGGACGGCAGGCTTTTGCCCACCTTCGGCCCCTGGGGGGCCTGCGCCGGCCCCCGGGAGCGTCAAGAGGCTGCGCAGGACGAAAGTCAGGAGGGGAAAAAACACACAAACACAATTGATGGTCTATTCCCAGTAAAATATAGCAAAAGGTTGAAAGTGGGGGGAAGACAAAAAACAGAAGATGTTGGAAAATATGGGGAATCCTGTTATTTGTGTCTATTCATTTGTGTGTCCCAAGGCCTCTCAAAAAAACAGGACGTCGCATGTCTGGGATGGGCGTCTCGAGGCCTTTTTGGGGCTCTTGGGTGCCGCCCGAAAAATCTGCCCATTGCGAGACCGGCCTTCGAGCTGAAGAGCCCCGCACGGAAAAACGTTACGTCGGAGGCGTGGGATCGGCTACGGCGGGTTCGCGTCGTGCCGACCGGCGACCGGCGGCGGCCCCGCCGCGTGCGTGTGAGGTTGAATGCCGCCCGTGGCCCAGCATCGGTCCGTCGTTGAACGATCTGGTGTTCGCGGAGCGGCCGATCGTTCAAGTTTGAACGATCTTCGCGGTGTCAGGAACCAACGCCGGGGTCGACACGACGCGAACCTGCCGTACGCTTATGATGTTCTAACCTACTTTATCCTTGGCCACCAGAAAGAGCTTCGAGCACCAGAAAAGCACCCACAAACTCAAGGGTGTTCACGTGTCGGGCCCTGGGATACACTCGTCCGACACTGTTTTGACACTCTTTCGACACTCGTTCGACACTTTTGCGGGGTGCTCGAAATTATGTCCGGGATGTGGTCTTTAAGTACGATGGGAGCAACATAACCGCACGCGTGACACTCGGTGCTGGCTCCCGGGGGGGGCTGCCCGCCCACGCCGCCCGCCCGCGAGGGGCCGCCCACCCGCGGAGCCCTTCCAGGCCCCGCTCGCCGAGCGGCGCGACGCCGAGAGCCGAGAGCCGAGCGGGGGCGACGTTCGAACTGCCCGTGCGCCAACGAGGGGTCACCAGCCGCAGCCCCGAAGGAGGAGGGAGGGGGGGGGGGGGGGGGAGGGAGGAGGAGGAGGAGGAGGAGGAGGAGGAGGAGGAGGAGGAGGAGGAGGAGGAGAAAGAGGAGGAGTCGCGAGCCCAAGGAGCGACGCGCCGAGTTCGAGTCAGGGGCGGGCAGGAGCAGCAGGAAAAGTGGAGGGCGCGCAGTCGAGCACAGAACGTTTCGGGCCCCCAGGACGCCCACGACCCAGCCGAAGCCTCACGGCCACGCCGAGAGGACCCGAGAGGGGAAAGCCCAGGGCTGAGCGAAAGAAACGGACGACCGCGGGCCCCCAGAAACAGAAACATGGAATTAAGATATGGAAATCAGTCCAAGCCATTGAACGGCATCGTCCTGGACCTGGAGTCTACGAGGGATGGGGAAGGGGGGGGGCCTTGCCACCCTTGGGGTGGATGCCCTTCATCGAATTATCCCTCCGCCATTGCCTCTGAGGGTTATTCAGAAGGGCAGCCTCGGGGTCACACAGCCAGAATAACTGGGTACGCGCCGTCCTGGTCGAGAAAGCCCCTCAATTACTGCACCCCACAAGATCCCCCGGGACGTACAGCACGTGCCCTCTCGCGCTCTCTGGAGGGACGTCCCCAGAGCGCGGGAGAGGGGCCAACGGCGACACCGCGTTCGCCCTCGAAGGCGGGGTCCCTCGACAAACACGCTTCGCACCTCGCAAGGAGGCCGCGGCCACAGCACCGTCCACGGCCTCCTGAGGCCTGTCAGGCCCCTCCAGGACTTCCGCGAAACGGACCCTCGGGTGAGGCGCGACCGGGGTCGGCGGCGTCGGAGGCACGGAGGAGGAGGGGAGCAGGGAGGAGTCCGAGGCGGGTCAAGGCGAAGGAGGAGAGGGACCCAGGGGCGGGGGTGGCAGCTGGAGCCCCTCGGGAGTACCCTCGACATCTGATGGACGGCGCCCACCCGCAAAGGAAGAGGTGGACGAGGGGAAGGGAGGCTCAGGAGTCGAGGACGGAGGAGGAATGGGAGGTATACCCCGAGGTCTTACCACCCTGTGAAACTCTTCCTCGATAGCATCGTCCTCCAGACGGCGACGACGACCCTCGCTCGTTTCCATCGTTTTGCCTAGGGCCAGTGGCCCCTCGAGCGGGGCCCGAAACGCCCGTCACGGGGCAAACCTCGCGTTGGAGCCTCCTGAGGCCTCGAAGTTTCCTCGCAAATCTGGGACAGTGGCGACACCGCCACCCGACTGTGGTCATCCCAGGTGAGTGAAACTTGTAACACCTCACGTCGCGGCCTCCGCGCGATGACGGGTCGTTCGGGCCGCGCGGGTCTGCAGCAGCTGGGCCAGCCGGTCTCACTTTGCGCCTCGGGCGCCTGCCCACAGCAGGCACGCGGTCGCCCAGTGCGTCGGGCTCCGCTTGCACGTTGCCGATCCAGGCGGCGACCTGCCGCACGGTCTTGAGCAACTGCTTGTGCTCGTCGTAGGCGTCTGTGGGGAAGGCGTGCAGCTGGATGCCCTTCTTCGCCGCGGCGTCGGCGAAGTCATTCCCGAGTTTGTCGATGCCGCCCCCAGCTTCGATGTACGTCTGATGGCCCTCAACCCACGTGATCTGGAGCTGATCCGACAGGCCACCCATGTCCCAGATGGCGTGCCACAGCTGGCGCCAGAGGTCCGCGTCGTCACGCCTGGCACGCGTGCAGTGGTCCTTGCCAAATGCAAGCGACTCCGCGAGGCTCAGACCATCCGTCTTGGTGTGGAGGGGGGGGTGGCCGTGCTTGATCACCTGGAGTACCGCGTAGATATCTCCTCTCGGTGCTGTCTGCTCTGGCCCTGGCAAAGGGTACAATGCCATCCCTCGAAGCTGCCGCCCACGTAGAATGGCGATGCCCCAACCAGCGCGACCGGCCTCTGGCCAGCACAGTGGGCTCTGAGCGGAGCCGTCCGTGTAGACCACGCCTGTGATGTCCATGTTCTGCCCGCCCACGCAGTACCACCAGCGCTGCGTGTCGAGTGGTGGTGGGATGCAGGGCAGCATGGCACGAGGAAGCAGAGCGCTGGTAAAGAACACGTGATTCACTTCAGCTCTGTTCGCCATGCCACGAAGTTTCTGATCGACAGCTAGCCTTCTCATGTCATTGGGCTTAGGGCAAGAACCAAATCTGCGATGCAAATCACCACGGGCACCACAAACCAGACACCGAGAGGAAGCCGTGC